ACATAGTTACTTCACCTCATACTTGAAAAATAAAATTAAGCCTCAAAATTAAGCCTTTTTTTTTTTTTTTAATTTCTATGTGATGACTAGAAAAGCGTGCAAACATCAATCTGAAAAATAATCATCGGCTAGTGGGAACAAAAGAACTGGCTCTTCACAAGTGCTCAGAATCTAGCAGCTGCCTCTGGGTCCACTCTTGTAGTGCACATTCCTGATGGCTGAGAGTCACGCTGGTTAGACACCTGAACAAAAACTGTTCTTTAGTATTGTCAAAAGAGCCAAAGTGATCTAGGAAACAAAATCTTTGAATTGAAGCCTGTAACCCTAAATCAAATAACTCATTTGAAAATATTTTCCTAGAAACTTAAATGCAGGCACCTGTTTTTGAAAAAAAATCTCTCCGTGTAATTAAGAGAGGAAGCTGACTCATGGGCTTTGCTTTTGCCACCTAAACTGATTAACAGGAGAAGAAACCTGGTTAAGCTGGTGCTCTGGCTTGCTGACTAGCAGGGTAGTTTTTGATCTGTGGCCTCTGGAATTTGGATTATTTGCTTTCCCCTCTCTTAATCTCTGTGGGGAAACTTTCCCTCGCTATTTAAATATTAAATCCTCGCCATACTGGAATGTCGCAGTGTACTGCATACAAACAGAGATTTTCAGTGTATTTTCAGTGCAAACCAATTGTGGGTTCCAACTCAGAAGGCCTTTGTTCATTTGCTCTGAGGATACACACATATCTTTTGCTGGGAATTTTACATGTATTTGAGCACTAAAGACCCAATAAGTACTGACGCACATCAGAATCCTTTAGGCGTGTGGACTGTAGCTGTAGTTTCCCTTTTCTGGCAGCAGTGTCAGGACAGACTGCAACAGCGATCATAAGACACCAAGCTTCTTGCAATTTAGATGTTTAAATACAGTTTATCTTAACAGGCTCCAGACTGAAGTCAGCCCCTTTGAGCCTATCAGATTTTTCCTCCAAAGACATTGCAATGCCTAGCTAGAGGAGAAAGGTAGCATTATTCCATTCTTCAAACGTTGTTTCGAAAAAATCAATCTTTCCC